AGATCTATTAGAGACGTGATTTAGAGTGTGCTAGCAGGCCTTTCTGCTCCAGGATCTGTCCAAAGAGACGAGCAGCTTCCTCAGCACATCCACGATGGATGGTCAGTCCAAAACCACCATGTCCGTAGTTATGAATGACCTGAGGTGAAAGAAAACAGCACGGTGTGTGAAAAGAGGCAAAGTTAAGAAGAAGAAATACTGCTCTCTTTACTATGAGCTCACCTCAAACGAGGTTGGTTCAGATCGTATGGTCTCTCTCTCCAGTCTAACTTTGCTGCGAGCGGGTCTGAGACCAGTCCAGTCCTCTACAATCCGCGCATGCTAGAGAGAGAGAAAACGGAGCAAATCTGTGGGAATATGGAAAATTACACCTGAAATAACAGATTTTGACAACATGTGATCTCATACCTGTAGACTGGGCTCAAGCTTGCAGGCAGCTTCCCAGATGTTTTTATGGTCAACAGAACTGTTCTGCAGATTCCAGTTTCCTACTTGGAAAACTCCACCCACAGTGACTAAACGACTCCTGCAGAAACAAACTGAGGTCATGTGCATCTGTCTTGGGACAAGACTACATTTTGCATTTTATAATAAACACAACTTAAAATGGGAACCTACACAGCATGTTTCCCTTTATCTCTAAATGTCTTTTTTTCAAATATACATCGACTGTGATGAAAAATAAACTCACCCGGGTATGATGTACGCTGAATTGCCTCTAGACGAGAAATTATGTGTGGAGATCCAATGTTTTATCCAGGGAGCATCTACCTGTTGACATACAGCACAGAATCAGAGACTGTCTAAAACTCAAAACCTGATTGATTTTTGTCCGCTAAACCTCACCTTAATGATCTGTCCTCTGGCTGGCTGGAGCTCAGGATCAGGCTGGAGGTCTCCTGATCGGACACCGGAGCAGTTGATGATAACATCAGCACCACTATCTGCCAACTGAAGCCCATTTTTGAGGTCATTACAAATTACAAATTTTATGATTACTTTTTTACAGTATATATGAAGCAAGCATAATCGGAACATTAAATTAATTAAATTAGAGTTAGAGAATCTGCTTATAATATGTTATGTTAAAACTAGTGTAAGGTAATCTTACTGATTTTAACAATCAAGTTAACATATACACTACCATTCAAAAGTTTGGGGTAGCTAAGATATTTTAATGTTTAAATCTCTTATGCTGAATAAAATACAATAAAAGCAGTAATATTGTGAAATATTATTACAATATTATTACAAAAGAACTGTTTTATATATTTTAACAACTATTTAAATACATGTTAAAATGTATTTATTTCTGTGATGTCAAAGTTAATTTTCAGCAGACATTACTCCAGTCTTCAGTGTCACATGATCCTTCAGAAATCATTCTAATATGCGATTTGTCATTTCTACATATATATTATCAATGATGAAAACAGTTGTGCTGCTTAATATTTTTGTGGGAATGATGATACTTTTTTTCAAGAGTCTTTGATGAATAGAAAGTTGTAAAGATCAGTCTTTATTTGAAATGGAATTATTTTGTTACATTGTAAATGTCTCAACTGTCACACTTAATACTGATCTTTTAATTTAAAAAAGATGAATGGAAATGAAAAAGCAATTGCTCAGACCTCTTTAAATGAACCAATCTTCCTCTGATAAAACTTGACCTCTCTTTGTCTTAACCTACAGAAAACACAGAAATGTGACCAAGGTGTCAAAGATAGTGTTAATCATTGTTAGACCAGAAAAGAGTAACTGATTCACAACTGATTTTACATGACTATATACATGCATAAGTTATTCTGATGCATATACAGTAAAACAGAAGAATACAAATATTCATGTAAAAATTGGAGACACACCTATATGCAAGATGTCTAGACACATAATATACATGTAATATACAAGTCTAGAAATCTAAAAGATTACTTATTCATTTTAAGTCAAAATGCTTATTTGTTTTATATATATTTTTAAAATGTAACAATTTCTAAGCTTATATTACAGTTTGAATTGTGGACTCTTGAGCTCCACTGTATATTATATTTCATTCCCATTCTAATGTTGGTTACTGATTAGATAACAGGAATCTCTCACCAGTCCATAAGCCAGGGCAGGTATGTCTTTCCTTCAATCATGAGAGCGGTGTTAAACCAACCAAAACTGAAAAGATAGAAGGAAAACGGAAAAGTGACATATGCAATTTTACAAAAATAAATACTACAACCATCAAAGGGTAAAACAACAAAACAAGTAAGCGTCATCAAATTATAGAAATAGCTTGTGATGAGATGCAGTTGATAAGTACCTGTATCCCGGGAACATGTCTAGTTCACGTTTAGTCAGCTGGCGAAAACCCAACACCGCATCTTTAAATGAGGGGTCCTGTTTGAGGGGAGCAGAGAGATTGAGTCATTTTCACTATTATCTCTTGGGTCAGTGAGATGGGTCGGTTACAGTATGTCCCGTGTGTCAGAACTTGCGGTTTATTATATGCCATTCTGTAGATAATGACATTATATGCAATGGAAAGATAATGTTCTTACTGGCAGGGGTTCAGTGCACAGATTGTAGCCAGACTGAAGGAAGATTCCCATTTTCACTGAATCTGGCGAGGTGAGGCAACTTTGTAGATAGTCAAACGTCTCTTTGTTCCATTTACTGAGAAAAGTAAATAAAACATTTTACTTGCTGCTATAGACTATACAGCATCTTGGGTTCTTCAGGTTAACTGAGAAACATGAGGATGTGCTTCAACCGATTCACTGACACTTTTACTGACACTGAAAGCTCACGTTTCATGCACATTGCCCTTGTCGTAGAGATACGGCTGCCAGAGTCCAGCTGCCCCGTCGCTGGTGGTGAGTGGGGTGAAGACATCAGCATACACCCCTATGGTGAGGGGGGTGATCCTGCTGTGAAA